CAACTTTGTTTTGGTTTGATTATTTTTTTGAGGTTAGGTTGTGGATCTCCGCTTGAATTCGTAAATTTAGAGTAAAACCTGTTAGTATGATACGAAATGAGCTAAAATTGAATGTGATATTGTTATGAGAACTCATGAAATAATTGTAATGTAATTTCAGGTTACGTTAGTTTGCATTTCGTTTCCATTCAGTAGTGAAATAAATATTGCTGAATAAGTGGAGTAGATATATAATATTGAAGTTCACAGAGTGGGTATTTGAGATGTATATATTGTAGCCGATTCATCTATACTCACATGTCTTTTAAATGAAAGAGAAAAAGTCCTCAACGTTGGATGTATGTGCGAATAATTGATCTACTTCTGGTAGGAAAAATTGAATATATTATGTGCTTTGCTTTTGAGTAAGGATTCCACTTTTTTCAAATTCCTTCTGAGAACTGAATACAATCCCGAAGTCGACAGAATATCTTTCAATTATACACTGATTGAAATCATCAATTTCTGTGAAATGCAGAAAACTTTCATGAATAACATGTGAAACCAAGCAATAATGATTCAATATATTACTCTACTGATGAATTCTGTTAGAATAAGGAATGCGTGGATCATGTTTTTCATATTTTAATTATTTAAAGGGATTCAAACAATTCACATCATAATTATTCAATAATCAACCATGACAACATCACATAGAACTAACTAGACAGGCAAGTTCATGCAGAAGTGGAATCATAACTCATGAAAAATTGTTCAACTCATATAACAGCAGTCCAGATATCCAGAGCAGATTCTCATTCATTCTTCATTTTTTCCTGCACAATATTGCGAACCTGCTACTTTCATATCATTTACTACTTGCGTAATTTTGTACTCTATATGATTCACATACCACGTATATACTATATCCTCCTTCATTTGTTCACATGAGGGGTTGAGGCCTTTCAGTTCCCTAATTGTTATTGTAATACTTATATTTATTGACAAACGTTAGTAGCATCTACGTTTACGCATACGTTTTCCATGATTTCTTATAGAATTTTTTTATCTATATAGTCTATAGAAACTATATGTTTTTGGTGTAGGTTTACCTAGCTATAGGTTTACCTAGTTATAGAATGTCAAAAATCGACTGCAAGTTTTTTTTAGCAACGTCAAAAACAAAGAGGGTTACGCGTCAGTTGCGCCAATAGCTACAAAACTAATTCTAAACCTATATGCATTCCATCTGGTTTTGTGACTTTACCACCATTACATGTTTCAAAAAATGTTGTGACCATTAGGAAAATATCAAAAAAGAAATGGGATAGGCAGAATAATTCAAGATTCGAGAAAATTTCTCATCTCATATGAACGTACTATATGCCCTATTGTATAATATATTCCCAAATTATATCACAACATTGAATTACTCCTACCCGGCCCCATAGCATTCCACTTATGATAATTTGGTAAGAACCAAATGTTCACCTGCTCACAAGGCCCAAACCCCTGTACAGGTGTGGATTAGGTAGAAAAACCTAGAGAGCTTTGTGGATCAAAGGTTGTATAATCGACCAAACAAGAAATGCTCATTTGGCAGTTTGTGTTCAAGGTTAAATATCTTCAAATTGCAAATGAGTTTTCTTGCTTTAGGTTGTATATATGTAGGTTGCAGGTTGTAGTTTGTTTTCTAAAATTCATTTTCAGTCAATATTCCGTGCTAAAGAGGCCGCTATTCACTTGTTTGGCCTCAATCATCGCGCTCCATCAACCGGTTTACATAGTCTGCTCAGTAATACACTTAGCGTTATTTATTCCAGTAACTTATCCTGACGATGCATTTTTGGCCCAATTTCCATGACATGATTCATTGTTTCTTGCATTCGTGGAATAGTTTTTCTGGGTCGATCAGAATTTGGTGATATAAGTACTAAAGTTTTGATTTCTTGACATGTTTATTTAACTTAGAAATCAAACCATAGGCGCCAGAATTTCAAAAATCTAGAGGGGGCAAAGCTATATTAAAATGATTGTATGACACATTTTAGGAAATTTTTCGGATATTTGAATAGATGTTTTGTTTTTATTATTTGTGGGTGGGTAGTCAGCAGAAAACTGTTGTAAAGTCTGTAAAATGTAACGCACGCGCGAATTCTCTTTGTTGAAGTTCGAATACATCTCAATTGTTATTTAGGTATTTTGGCTGATATATGGAAATTTACATATTTTGAAGCATTCCATGCATGTGCCGGAAAAATAAAACAATATTATAAAGGCTTTTTCATCATTCTCATTTCATTTGAATATTGCGATGGAAAATGGGTGAACATTATTTAAAAGAAATTTATTTTATCACAGGCACCAAGGATGCCCAACGTAACAGAAGCAAAAACACAATTTTGTAAAACCGAACACAATTAATTCTAAATAAATCGAATCATCAAACATTTTCTGAGAGCAATACATTACATTTCTCGGAGAGGTATTTCCATCAGTAACACTCTTTCATGGGATAATCATGTCAGATCCATCGCAAAAGCTGCTTCACAAAAACTCGGATTCTTGTTCCGTGCGAAAAGCTACTTTACACCTCAACAGCCTTCTCATGATCTACAAAGCGCAGATACGGCCTGTTCTAGAATACTGTTCCTACATATGGGGTTCAGCACCAAAACATACGCTGATGCTCTTAGATTCTATCCAGAGAAAAACCATCCGCCTGGTAGGTGACGCCACACTCACTCACTCTGACATCATTGGAACACCGTAGAAAGGTCGGCGACCTTTCACTTTTCTATCGATACGTCCACGGGAAATGTACTTCGGAAATCTCTGCTATCATCCCTTCACTAGCAATACCAGTCAGACGAACTAGACAAGCCCAGTCAGCACATCCTTTCGTTGTCAACCTCGAAAGATGTCGAACAGCACTTCAAAACTCCTTCATCCATAGAACGGCTAGGCTCTGGAATTCATTGCCTGGGGAAGTATTCCCAACAACATATAATCTCCAGAAGTTAAAAAAAAATTCCAATACCTACCTCCTATCCCTATCCTCCCTAGGAACGCACGATGTTCTTTGAACATTATAGGGATTCCCTTTCGAGCGCTCCAAGCGATAAAAAAAAAGGTAGATGCTTCTCCTGCCCCTGTGTAACCGACGTCTATGAATCAACTGATTTATGTTTTTAGTCATAAATATTATATTCAGTAGATTCATATACTTGGAATAAATAGGTACATTTCAGAAAACTGGTATAGGGTAGGTATTAGAAAGAAATCCAATAAATACACAGCGATCTATCCGAAAGTTAATTGGTATAGACACTCTATATATAGAATATCACGAAAATTAATTAATTGGAATTTCAGTATTCATCGGATTTATCATCAAATGGTACCCGCACATTTAATAATATTGCCCTTTTTAAGTATATATAGGTACAAGTCCAGATGTTTTTTTGCCGAGCTCATTAATCTCTTACCATAATTCTGCAAGTGGATGTCATTTTCAATAAATATTGTTATTTTTTAATTAACCATAATATCGACATTTAATTAACATCAAAATAAATATACAGTATAGCATGCTGAGTCAATAAATTCCGAGATAATTCGCTGTGGGTACTACGAGTGAAATATATACCGGGTGTCCCAGTATACCTGTTCCAATGAATTATCTCAGCCATCATTTCGAAAAATAAAAATTCGAAAATTTCATGATCTTCAATTTGTTCAAGGACGCTTCAACTGAGAAAAACAAGAATCCGGTTTGACCGGAAGTGACTCTTACTTTTTTATTTCAAATTGCACCCTGTATATTTTTTGTAATTTTTGATTTCTAGTCGAAATTACCGTTCCAACTATGTATCACACTACGTATTTTATTTCTGATTTGATGGGGAAAACGACAATTGAAATTTCAAATTGAACGAATTGCAGTAGTCAATCATGTAATTTTAAAATTTTCATCTTTCGAAGTTGCTGAGATAATCTATTGGAACAGGTATACTGGGACACCCGGTATATATAAATAATATAATTCATAAGAGTAATTATTTACTCAGATATTGTGAAAGTTAAATTCTTTGTAATTCTTGTATGCATGCCGTCTGCCATCAATGTCTAATGAATAAGACCCAAACACATTCTGTTTCCGTCTGTTTCAAGAAAAAGCCGAAAAGAGCAAGAAAATAATATATTATCAATAAGTACATTAGATATATCGGGATTCACAGGCCTTCAATGCGAATGTTCCATGGGGATATTATAACTACTTGGTTATTTTTGCTAGATAAGATAGATAAGTAAATTATTGCATTTTGAAATGCAGCACCGGTATCTTATTTTTCGATTTGTTGCACACACAGCACAGCGTTTCTGCTTAGGATAATAACAGCAAATGCCCATGGACGTGTCTGTGATAATTGTAAAACTTTTTCCATGTTTGAATATATATGACTCTGGAGGGGTGAACGAACTTACTGTCAGAACTCCACCACATAAACAATTTAATAATGACCAACGGTCATTGACAAAAGGACATGTTTCGAAGGATTAATACTTCATCATCAGCAAATTTATAACAAGAAGAAAATCCGTAAGAAGAAAACAACGCTTATGTTAGTTAAGTATTGTTGAAACGTCTGAATATACCTATCATTATTGGTGGAAAAAGATTACCAATAATGGTAGGTGTATTCAGACTTTTTAACCATACTTAAAAACTAATATAAACGTTGTTTTCTTTCTACACATTTTCTTCTTTTTATGAATTAGCTGATGATGAAGGGTTAATCCTTCGAAACATATCTTTCACCCTTCCTGATTTTTATCACCTCCACTGTAAGTTATGGATCACCAACGTTGGATATATGATTCTGTCTTCTTGAGACGTTAAAACTATGCGTTACATTCATATGACAACATTAAGGCCTCATCCAAACTGATCAAAAGTATTTGAAATCTAGTCAGCTAATCAGATCGGCTTACGAAGACAAACAATGTATTCCAAAATCTCATTTAGCGTGTATCAACAAATCGTAGCTATCGCTAAACCCTCCATAAGCGTCTCCGTTATCGGAGGTGATATCGGAAAAGTAAACGTAGTAGTCGGTATGGACGTTTCCTATGTAAGTGTAACTGCCGTTGGCAAATCTCCCTATGTAAACGGGTTCGCTGGTGTTGGTTATCCCGCCTATCACCGGAAAAGTGAAATTCACCAATTCCGGAGTCCGGGTGCGGTTGGAGGGTAGCCAAATCAAGGAAGATGGGTCTGGAGAACACAAAACCTGGAAAGAATAACATACTTATGAATTTGAGTTTCCAAAATCCAAAGATTTCCCATTTATTGGTGAAAGTGTGATGAGCTAATAGTTTAGTAGGGGCAAATGCAATTCCGTGGGCCTTTGAATGAAGGAATGTGGCGACGACTAGTGGGTATCTATAGCTGACGGATGATAAAATCACGTACAATACCAGGTGTTTGGCCTGAAAATTTTGCCTTCGTTGGTAAATCTACTGGGTATTGAACATCTACCACTTGATTGTTGATTCATAATGTGTAAATCTCAAACATTGAACATTTTTACAAACTTTCTCGGTAAATTTGAGGATTCCTCACGCCTTCTTGCTAAATGTAACTGCCAGAATGATACCGAAACATGCCAGAACCTTGTACAGTACACAAAATGCAAGGTAGTACTGTCGACTACGCCGTTATTTACTTAGGCAACCTCTTCGCTGCTGGTCGAGCACACGTGGATTTAAGTAGAGTAAAATCATCAGAAGGTCTCCTTATTGAAAAGCTGGACTGTTCGAAATTAACCGGCAAACGACCTTGCAACAATGATGCGTTGAATGAAATGGACAAACTGAGAAACCTAGCCAGCGATAAATAAAAATTGAAAAATAAATTGGAAGTAAGAAAAAAATGTTTAATAAAAAGTTTCTATTTAAACGCTCTACATCTAAAAAGAATAAAATAATATGTTCCTTCATAATTTTGACTATCAACTCATGACCTCATCATACACAATTTATATGATCATAAAAGCTTAATGTCATCAGCAGATTTTACAAAATTAAATTAGTACAAGTTCATTCACATAGGAAAAAACACTATATGATCATATAAATTGTGTAAAATGAGGTTCTAAGATAGTTCAAATTGTAAAGTAACATTTTATTTTATTCTTCTTAGACCGTTTGAATAAATGCTTGTTATTATTTTTTTTTCACTTTTAATTCATCTCTAGATTGCTTGGTCTAATAGCGGTTCAGACCTTTAGTGTGTTACTGGTGGTAACCGGTCCTGAATGTATAGTTGGATTGATAACTATATCTTCTTGTCCAGAAAAAATGTGCCCAACGTATAATCCAGAATTTTTGATGAAAGCTTGTGCTATGTAAATGTCACCCCTGTTGTCGGTCGTTGCCAAGAAGATATCACGTGGCAAAGTCCCATTCCAGTCTCTCCAATAGTAATCTGAAAAAAATACAAGTTGCACAAGGTTGCTATAAATGATTGAAATATTGTAGTGGCTGTTGAAATATTATTTCCATTTGCCGCTTTCTGCTATGTACTATGACAGTAGCTCAAAAAATATAGTAACGACTATCAACTTCATTCTATCGAATGGAAACATCTATTTTAGATTGGATTTCGCAACGAACTTCGTAACTGCCCAATCTGCCGTCATACAGTTCTGAAACAGTTCCTATGGTACTAAAACAATGAGACGAAATACGATAAACATGCAATGGAATGTTTTGCTCTATTTAAAAATGAATCCTCAGTATATTACGATCTTATATTTTTTCGATAGCTGTTAAGGTTAGATATTAGGTACATGTAATATAATCGGAATTCGATGCAAAATTCAAAAAGGAAAAGCAGATTACAAAATTGGGGTTGTAACTGTAACTCATTTCAAGGTTAGTATGTATACATGAATTTACCATCAAAAAAAACGAAGCCGAAAATTAAAATCTGTGTGTACAAGCGTTTTTAATGATACCAAACGCCTGACAGAATCCTCATTCTCCTGTTTTTATTACATGTTCGAATATAATATCTCATTCAATACTGACCAAGACAATTATTATCATAGCAAACACCAACCTCAACCGCCTGTTAGCCAACCTCACCTTTTTCTATTATTGTAATAGAAGTAGAAGTTTCATACAGTTGTGGTACAATTTCTGTGCAATGTAATTCAGATAGTTCAAGATGTATTTCAGAAAATATTCAGTTTCAATTCAGAATTGTTATTGATATGCTGCAACTTCCTCATTTCAAGATATAGCCGTTGATCGATGAATATCATAAAATATCAATCAGTAATGAATTATTCGGTGTTCTCATCATTCCCTACCCCATGATGGTTTCTGAGGTACAATTCACGCAATTTGAATAACAATTCACTGATTCAAGTAATACTTGAAAATAGAATTTACTAATCTGAATTTTAGGTTACACTTAGTGAACCGCAATTTAGAAATATACTCAATGCAATAATTATTGACATAATGGAAGTGAATAGTTAGTTATACTTGAAGAAAAATACTATAATAAATCACGATCATCAACATCAATATATCCCGTCATCCTCTGATGCATTCGGCGAGTGGACTGTTAATGAATTATTGGCATTCAAAGAGTCTATGCGTTGTTCAACCGTCATGGCTGCCATTTGGCGATACGTCAAATAAATGGTGACGTAACTTTTTATGCTGTTGCGTTATTGGTCAGATAATCTTCTGTAAGGGCTGCGGAGTTTTATTAAACACAGTCGTCAATTAGAATGATGTAATGAACACCTTCCACCTAAATAACAACAATAACAACCACTGTTCAACAACTTCTTCTTCTTCTTCTTCTCTTTGGGTTTATTCGGGTTTATTGGATTTCTGTCTCCTTTCGGAAACAATTTCTCCAGATCAGGTAATGAATTTTTTTCAAGAATAAATACTCGGTTATGTAATAATATTTTCACTCGACTCGCCACATAAGACACCAATTGTCTATCACAATGGTCTGAAGCCGAGTCATCAGTGTTCATATAAGATTCGATCGTATGTACTCCTCTTATCCAGCAAATCCGTTGCTGATCCGGCCTGTTTACCGGCGTAGAAATGATGGAGCACGTTTGACTTCAAGTATGGCCTCCTTATCCGATGAATCCGTCATCATCCGGCCTCTATACCGGCGTAGAGATTAAAGAGCCAGATATTTCTCACACACACTTAATAAACTTCACATTAAATATTGGATTTCAATTCAGATCAGGTAATTTGAAAATTATGAACTTCACACACATTAACCTGACTTTTGGTCTGGAGACGCCATGTTTCTCCTACCGTGGGCAAATGTCGAATACTCAACAACTAACTAACTAATCAACAACATCTCCGACTCCCTGTCAAAGAGGAGATTGTCCCTACCATGACTCGACTCCATTTCCGAATCCAACCAATCACCTGTTGGCACGTGCTGGACGCACATTCCATTGTTCCGAACCCCTACGACTCCCGACGAGCATCTTCGTGGGTTTACACCGTGACTAGGCTGACGTGCTACACTTTCATTCCCACTCATGAAGCAAGGTTATCAATTCACTAATTATAATCAATTTATCAAAAAGATCAGAGTCCTGTCGTTGAATAAAACACGAGATGAATCATAGTATGAGGAAGCCATGATATTATATTTCATTCTTGACTTCTTCCAGCAACCAGCATGTCCAAATATTCCTTATACTCCAAAACAAAATAGCATGTAAATGTTGAAGACTATTGGCAACAATGTACTGAATGCTGGGAACTGACAAGGCACCGCCCACAATTCGTGCGCCGTGTTGTCACGTTTACCCTCAAATGTCCTCTAGTGTGAATTAATACAATAATATTATCATTAACACTAATGTATTATAAGCAATAAGCCACAACAGACGAGGGAATATTTCGAGACAATTGATTTTTTATTCCTAATTAGGAATATCACTAATACAAAATTGATAGTTTATGAATTATTGAGTAACTAATATTTCTATAGTTCCAATCGTATTTCCACATATGGCAACTTTGCTATGGTTTGTGACGTAAATCGAACAAAAATTTCTAAAAAAATATGAAATTGAAAGGTATTTGAGTGATGATTCTATTCAAGAAATAAAAAAAAATTGGTCCACTCACCTAATTTCCGCAAATAATACTAATGTATTTTTATTCTTGTCAAGATGTTGCAAATTAATGTTGAAAAATAAAAAGTGTGAAATGATAATTTTTTATATTTGATTATTATTTGGTCGTGGATGAAATTGTGTAAACAACGATCATGTAATTATGGTTATTAATACACTCACACACGATTGACGACACTCGCCTTGGCTCGTGTTGTAACTTACCCCGTGTTCGTGTAACAATAGTTATCATTATAGTTATCATATGATCGTTGCCTGAAATAATATCCATTATACCTATACGTTTTTACAAAAAATCTGTTTCCATACATGAATTTTATCACGCTCAGCCAAAGCAATTTTCATCGTGTGTCTAATCACTTCTATTTCGCAAATCATATCGAAAATAGTTTATTTTTGAGTCATCCTACCTGCACCACATAGAGCTGATAAACCAAAAACACAAAACAAGATGATTCCTTGAATTCGAGCCATATCTATACACACCAGTAGTGAAAACGTGAATGTATGCTAGGCGATTTGGATTGAACTGTTATCAAAAATATTCATATTCAGTCACGTATTGATTTCAATCTGCACTTCAATGATAATAATTTAGTGTAGTAGATATGCGATAAAAAATGGTCTCAGGTGGAAATAATTCCCACAAATTTTTTTTCTGCTTTTTTCAGTTCAGAATGCATAGAATAACACATCATATGAGGAAATATAGAATGACACCTGTGTGCAAAATAAAGTTACATTGTTTCCAATATTCGTTTATTCGTTAATACGTATAAATACATGAACCTAATAAAAATGGCATATTTGGCATGTAACAGAAATTCATTCATTATCTTCAATTTCCTCGATTGGAATATTGGTACCTTCCCGAACAATGATTGCACAATACTGTGCAAAAAAATCCGTATCGTCGACATTCACATCTGGTTCCACAAGGTTCATCTACTTCAGTTTTGCAAGAACTTCTGTACGTCATCATATGATACAGAAAACCCAAGCTTATGGAGTTCATCGACAAGTAACCGAGATCGAAAATCTCGATGATACTGCACACCAACACCTAGGCGAATCAAACTTATGATAGATCGTTGCCTTGCAGCTTGCATTAGTGCCTGTTCAATTGAATTTTTCTCCAAACTTGAGGATTTTTTGTTGATTATTATATCCAAGAAAGTTTTCAAAATGTCGGGTTGAAGCTTATTATTTTCCTGCTCGGAACTTATTTCTTCTGGTGAAGGATAAAACTCTCAGGATGTTCTCATCAACTTGATTAAAGTCTTAATCAGTTTAGCTGTTGCTTCAACTATCCGAAATTCTTCAGCATCTGTATCTTCTGACAACTTTTGTCGCTGATAATCACAAATTATTTTGGCAACTGTTTTCCCTGTTACGATCATATTAGCTCCATCTTTTTGTCTCAATATCATAATGTCAGGTTCGATATCTTCTGGCAACAGCTCTGCCATTTTGTCCAGCAACTCCTGAACTGAAATTGGTTCATCATTTTCCTTGAGCCACCTGCATATTTCTAAAAAGGCATCTTCTTTATTTTTATCAGAAGGACGTCCTGCTAACTTTATCTGTTCATTGGGGATATCATGTTGATGTTTCTTAGGAATAGAGTCGCCTTTTTTAAAATTCACACTACATTTCTGATAAATCAGAGCATCTGCTGCTGGCACCATTTGCTAATTCCTGTACACACCATTGAGAAAATGAACGTAACTTCGTTTTTTCATTTCCTGGCCAAAATTCAGTAACTGACTGGCATGAGTTTGTTAGTAATGCTAAGTATTTTCAGTTACTTACTATACAAAGAAGTTATAAATAGAGGTGAGCCACCATACTGGGACACCCGGTATATTGATGCGTCTCTCCATAGGTGTTCTCTCGTACTCATGTCCATAAATACCATCGGATCAAATCAAGCCACGATAATATACTGGAATATAAAACCCATCCAAAAATCGTATATAAACTTTCACACTTCTGCCACTTCACCATAACGAACCTCAAATTACTTCATGGATGGGCAATTAATGTCATACAGAGGAATTTTCGGTTCGTAGGCCTAATCGAAGTTCGTTTTTTAATCTGAGAACTTTCTGCAGCGGCATGTTTTATCATAAGAGTTGATATAATAAAAATGACCATTTCGAGTGGGCCCATTAAGAATCTTCTCGGACGGGCAAAGATTTATGGACGAATCATTAGCTGGAATGGGCAACTGGGAATATGCATGGATAAAATGGATATTAGTATACTTATTTTACATATTAATTATTGCATTCCTGTGGGGCGAAATCATGAGAAAAATAATCTGAAATATCTGTAGTATTAAAGCGATCAGAGAGCTGAGGATTCCTTAAAACCAATATTGTACTGTTTCTTCATAGCGATAAAGTCATTATTTCTCGAGATACTTCAAGTTAATGTACATACGATTTTTTTGAGTTTGATTTTATTGATTTAATTATGTCGATATTTTGGATCAATTCATTGCATTCATCAATCCAATGACACTTCAATCCATATATTAACAATAAAAACATCATAACATAACAGACAGGAGCTGTTACAGGGGGTTTTATTATTTATTATATTCAAAAATTTAAAAACTCCCTGCAACAGCTCCTGTCTGTTATGTCATCATGTTCTTTCTGTGACGGGAAATAAGTTTGAAGTTTCATCTCTGTTGACAGGTTATAAAATGCCACTTTTCATAAATTACTTTTTTCCCAAGTTTGAGTTGAAATATCTCGAAATATAATGACTTCATAGACATGGAGAAAGAGTTTAATATGTACGTGAAAATTGTTGGAGCATCGAAAAATTGTGATAGAATTACAATTCCGCCAGTGGCTTAGAATTTGGGAGGGATCAGCCAGTCACTTGTCCCTGTCGTACGCCTCTGGTAGGAGCCAGAAACTTTCATTTAACATGATTTAGTAGGGTGTATAGTACTTACACTCCCCACGGAATATGACAATAATACTTCGAATAGTTTCGAAGTACGGGGCACCAATAATTATTGAATTTCCAAATAAAATACCCTGTCACTCAGGCAGAAGACACATTTTATCCAGGTGATTTTGGTCGAACCATAATATTTTGAGACCAGAATTCTATAGTTGAAATATTTCCAATTAGTAAAGAATCACCTCGTAAATCATTCTGTATATTATGCCTGAAATTTTAAGTATAAATTCAGATACCGCAGAAATAACCATCAAATTATAGCAATGTTTTGAACATAAAAATGGAAAATAATTATTGATTCGAAAACCTTTGAAGATGGGTATAGGAGATTATAAGACAAAAATATTGAAAAACTAATCATAAATCCAATTATGCGATAAAAATGATGCTACTTTTTGATATAAGCGGCAACGCTGCATCGCTGAAAATATTTCAAATCGTTGGATCACGAGCTATTATTTCCTAAATAATTCAATGTCCCGTTTCCCGAATGGCCTACGGTAGGTACCGTGAGACACCTTGTATCGCATTATAAACACTGCTTGCCAGTAATCATGAAAATCACCGATATTCACCGGAAAATTATATTACCAGGCTAGGTGGGTGGAAAATATCTTCAGATTCGGCAAAAAAAGTTACTGACTGAACAAGTCTTCTCAGCTCTGAAAAATCAACTTTCACTTCTGATGAACATGAAATCCTCAGTTATTGGAACTTGAGAATTCTTTGCTACAGATCTTCAGATATATTTGCTTAATGTTTGGGGCTCTGGGTATTTGTTAGCTTAGTATCACTGTATATATTCAGTAAGATGCCAGTTTCATTTTCATTTTTCAGTACCCACCCTATTTATGACATGATGATTACTTAATATATTTTGATTGATTGTCCTATGAAGCAATGAAAGCATATTATATCAAAAATTTTGTGCAGCTTTGATTTGGCACAATTACCAAAAATGATACGACACAATTCTCACGAATGAAATTGCAAGGTACAAACTGATTTAAAATCTAATTTTTTAATGCGTTCATAACAGTAATTTATAATAATAGACTTCCTCTGAAATTCTTTGTAGATGGACTATAATGAGTGAATACTGTTATTACTTTGGGAAAAGAAAGTCGCCCACGGAACCTAGTTCACATTGAAACTATTTTTATCTCTCAAATATAGTGTTACTCGAAATGCTCTATTGTTGATAGCGGAATAGTAAGAAAAATTGAGTGATGTGAATTTTCAAATATATAATGTATAAATAAAGTGAAGCTCTGAAGACTTGTTCAGAATACTTATACCCAAAATACCACAACAATATTAGTAAAGCTTAAATACGTATTTTGACCACTACCATCCTCAGTAGAACTGAAATAGTTATTTATACAACAAGGTAGTAAAGAATATCATTATTACCCAAGGACCAAGATTATATCTTCAGGCTTCAGCCAGTGGGTATAAGGTCCCCTGGTAATAATATTCTTTACTGCCATCATTGAGTATTCACACTATATATAATCAAGGCGGCCATCAAGGTGTATATTGAATTTTGTTCACCACTAACAATATATCTCAATCATTATAGTTTTGTGAAACTGAAATGGAGACCTATATCACTATTAAAGCACTTCTTTTCGATTCGAATTAAAATCGAGTCACCATGACAGCATATGACAAGTATTAAATACTAAAAATGATACACGAAGTCGTCTCCACAACATTTAATGTGATTAACACATCAAAAATTGGTTGGAAATGTTTCATACATATACAGGGTGTCCCATAAGTAATAAATCAAAAGACGTGGGGTGGTGGGAGTCATTTTAAATCAAACTAACGGTATATGTTGTTATCAAATTGTTGATGGTTCTGAAGTTATTCAATTTTTCTGAAGAATGCGACCTATTTGAAGAAAATTTATATCGACAAGGCTGTTTTGAATAACCCCACATGTGATACCATTTCGGAAACTGTATTAAATGGACAACTTTTTCATATGATTGGAAAAATCGACTTAAATATTTCATTCGATGACGAAATTCAAGGGAAACAACATCTTCCCCAGGTAATTGATATGAAGTAATACATTTCATAATAGTATATTGTGCAACAAGTGGGGAAAGTTCAACTTTTCTCACGAGTGTGAAAGTTTGTGGCACGAGCCTGAAGGGCGAGTGAGAAAAGTACTTTTCCTCACATGTTGCACACTATACTTTTTCTACAACTGCACTCATCCAAAGAATCCAAGTAATGTAACTTATTGGTATTCATTTTATAATGTGGCACTATGCCACATTGAATATTGTTACCCCAAAGAGTAGACGCCTTTCCTAGTTCCTCAAAGTATTTCAAAACAGTACACTTTCCGAATTCTGTATTTTTTTAGATTCCATAATTTTTTTGTATATGCCAATTCATACTTTTTTCTTGAAATATCCGGAATCAAATTGTTAGAATAATATTTGATGAAAACTGCGATTTCTATCAAAAGCACTAATGAGAACTACCCTAATGAATTTAAAAATATTCTTCTGACAGTTGTGACAACTATTCAAAGCTGAACAGCAACCAAGTTTTGGTCGATTTTTGTTGATTCTCCATGGAAATGTATGTGGTGTTGGCAAAGTGCCGTGAGAAAAAATATTTCCCACAGTATGAACAATACATGGTTTTGAAACTAAGTAAGCTATGAGTAATGCGCTACTTTTCATAGCAGTAGTAGAAAAAATTATTTCTGGTGAAAGGTGCATCCATGGGGATGGAATTTGTAAAAGAAAAAATCACAAAGACAATTGGATAACCACATATATGGTCAGTTTGATTTGAAATGACCCCCCTACCACCCCACTCCTTTTGATCCCCGACTTATGGGACACCCTGTATATGTCCATCATCAGCCTTATATAGAAATTATATAATTATTATGGTCATGGGGATAAAAAAAAGGTTATGTCACCAGCTTTAACATTATGAAATTATTGATTTGGGTTTTAATATAGAAAATTAAAATGGGGAAACCCAACAAACTCCCGGAAAACTACCATCATATACGATTTGTGGTGGGAACCATCAAATGGCACATATGGATGCAACCATAGTTGATGACATAACCTTCTTTATATCCCCATGACAACAATTATGTAATTTCTATATAAGGCTGATGATGGACATATATATGTCCGAAACATGTATCAATTTTTGATGTTTAATTACGTTAAATGTCGTGGAGATGACTTCGTGTATTGCAGCTTTGCTGTCCGAGCATATAGTGATTGGTCTATGACCTCTCATAATTAGGTTTTCTTGGACACAGGTGAGAATTGCAAGTACTTCTGCCTGAAACACTGAGGCATATTCGCCCAAAGGAACTGAACTTCAGACACCATATCGCATGCATCACTTCTCTTAATCACCGCTGCAATATAAGGGCACTCATACCGTCTAAACGCGACATGTTTTCTGAAGACGAGTGTACAGAAAATTGGGGCATGATAATGTCCGATATTGATCGAGAACGAGCAAATCAATCGTTGTTCGTAATTACCAGTTCCCAAATTTGGGAATGATAACCTTGAAGATCGGACTCAAACAAGCTTTCTTACCACATCATGCATGTATTAACTATCACTTTTAAGTTATAAAAGTATATTGTATATATATGACCCAACATATTATTGCATGTCGCCAGTACCAAATATAGAATGAATTA